TCACACCTGTGTCTCAACTTCCTCAATGCCTAATTGAGGGCATCCTTGGTTAGGGTCAGCTTGTAGACAACCGCTTGCCCTAGACTAGTGCAATGTTGAATGCTTTCAGGCCTGGAGAAAACACTGAATTCAAAGACAGAAATTTTAGGAGTCCAGTCTCTAAATAATTCAGGAACTTCTAAGTTGCCAGAAAATAGCAATAGAAAAAGGAGGTAGAGATAAGGCTAAGAAGGGAGAACTAGAGCAGTCTTGTAGCTGGGCTGTGGGAAAAGTCAGATATGGGATGGAAGGAAAAATTATGCCCTGAAATTTAGGAGATAGTTGCTTTAGAGTTCATGCTTTGTTTCAGGAAGTTCCTAATGAAGCACCTGTGCCCAGAGCTCCCCTTGATCATAGTAGTAGTATCTTCAAGGTTGGAGGATGGGCCTAGAACCCTTAGTCAGGGATAGTGTGATAACATTTTCTGTAAGGACCTCGAGAATACAAGCAAAAGTACTAAGTAGTTTATATGGAACATGTGCTTACCACTACTCTCAACACACTTTAAGAGTAATTCAGGAATGAGGAGAATCATGTTAAGAATGACTTTTATTTGTCAAGTTTTAAAACTCTTACAAGTAGTTCTATGAATTTTAGGTCATCCTGGAAACTAACATTTCTCTTGTTTTAGACCTAAATGAGGGCAGTCCACACAAGAGCAAAGAAACTGGAGTATGTGAGTTAGTCATAGAATGGCGGAGCTACTAAAAGACATGAATGTGTTTAGTTCATTGCCATTTTTGCTCAGTGAAAAACCAGGCCCAAGAAGGTAGCGAAACCTATGGTGTTGGAAGAAAGGAGAAAAAGGAAACTGACATCAAGTACCTACTCTGTGTCAGGCACTGTGCTAACTGCTTTGTTTTAGTGTCTTGATTCTTAAGCATCTTGAGGGTAAGGCTTGGAAGGAGTAAAAGGCAAATCCCTTTTATTATCCTGAGCAATTGTAGGTGATACAGAGAGCAATGGGCCACTTTTTCCTCTCTGACCACACAGGGCTAACCTAGAGGAAGTGAAGACCCAGCGTTTGAGGGTGGGGTTGATCTAAGGAAGTACCCACCAGACAGTTGAAAGATGCAAATAACTTCTTCATTCTAGAGACTTCTGAAATGACAGAAGCAGGCCTGATCAAGAGCAAAATTTATTTTAGTACTGGGGTTGACTTTCATTCTAGCAAATCAGGTCATGACCTGAGAATATAGGATTGATCTTAGATATAGATTGATATATGTAGATTGATCTTCCTTTGGTTGCTGTGCTTGTTTGGGATTTTTTTCCTTTTGTTTTTTGAGGGTTTTTTTTTTAATGTTTTGCAACACTTTCGAAGTCATGAAACTGGATTTATGATTTTGGAAAGACAGTGTCAAGTTTGGGGCAGGTGTCAGTCTGAAAGTTGACAGGAATAACATTGTGTTCCTCCTGGCTGTTTGATACAGTATCCCAAGATTTGTTCCATGAGGGAGTGGGAATATTACTACCAGACTCGGGTCCCATCGGTAAGGCATTAAGGGAGGATTCCACTTTTAGGAAGTGGGTCTAACAAGAGAGGTGAGTTTCATACCTGGATGGGAAGTGGGGACTTGGTATTTATAAGTCAGTGCATTATACCAGCTTACAAAATAGTACCCTAACAAGAGGAGGCCAAGGCAAAGAAATAATCAGAAAACATGGAGTTCATCAAAAACTACCGTTTAAAAGTAAAGAAGGGGGAACACGGAACAGAGGAGGAAGGTGAACAGCAGGAGGAGACTCATGGGAAAAAGGACTTGGGTGTTTTGTGCAGAGGGCTGCAGATTGATGGACTAGGATGGCACAGGAAAAGAGGTTTGGGAGGACATTCTTGGTGGCCTGAGTGAGGAACTGGAATTTGGCTTGGTGAGCCCTACAGGGAGCAGAGCATGAGGAGATGAAAGAGGGTGAGGACTTTTGCCACTGTAGTGAGTGCAAGAAGCAGAGAAGTTCTCTGGGGTGGTATTGCTCTCACCCAGGCATGAGGCCGCAGCAGGGCCCACACTCGAGCAGGGCGAGGGGAATCAGAAGGAAGGAATGGGGTCCACAGGAAGTGGCTCACAGCTTGGATATGAGGGGAAACAGAAAAGCTACCCTCCAGACGGTGATGCCAGGACACATTTGTGCTGACGGTAGTAGGGAAAGCTTGGTGTGAGGTAGCTGCTTGCTGCTTTGTTTTTACAGAGGAGGTGCTCATTAACCAATGGATGGGATGTGCTGTGTTCAGTGTTGCGGAGTCTAGGAGGGGGCCCTGCCCCTGGAGGGCCAGGGAGCAAGTGCGGTGTCCAGATGGTTACCTGCTCTCGGCCCTGCACAGGGGAGTCTGTTGTGGGGTGTGCCCACAACTTCAAGAATGCTAGCCCATTCTGGATCTGGGAAAGAAAAGACCAATTTTTGCCAGTTTCTTCCCCTTTAATGCTTTGGAAATGGAATATGACTAGCCTGTGGCAGCATGTGCCTGTGAATGCACAATTCTCTGGCTTGATTCTTGGAAGGCCTTTTCCTGTCCTTCCCTGGGGGTCATTTGTATCTCTGGTTCCTGCTCCTACAGCCATAAAGTGGGAGCCCCCATTTATTAATTGGGTTGGGACTGGGGAGGGGGCCGGCGGGGGACTCTTTAGTGTGGCAGGCGGGGGTCTTCCCGAATGAGCCCATTAGCCAGCCCCAACGACAGCTAAAACGGGGCCGCAGCCAAGTCTTCTCCGTTTCAAAACCCTCCATCGCCTGCAGCAGATCAGAACAAGGCCTGCGGGAGCCCTTAGCTTCTGATTGCAGCTGTGAGGAAGGACAAAACAATTTATAGGAAGCCAAGTAGCTCCTGTCTCACTCACTGTCTCTTCCTTTCTGACTTTGGGGAGGAGGAAGAGTGGGATGTTGCATCCTCTCCTACCATGGCTTCTTTTACAGGCCTAGAGTAGGAGAAAAGAGGAGTGTGTGGGCATTGATTGGACATTTATATCGATGCTGTGGATGTATTTACGCATCCTCGCTTTCTTCTTCCCATCCACACAGTTGTTGGATTAGCAGCCACTACTTCTGTGGGGCTTTCTAGGGCAGAGCCAAGAGTGTGCTGTGGGGTGGGGAGGGCTTACCATACTCTGGTTTATTAAGATTCAGGGTTAGGGATGGATCCCCTCTCTGACTTCTCTTCCTCTGAATGGGAGGGACTTGAAATTCAGTGCAAGGCCTCCTGCTGAGACATCTCCTGGGGACTTCTCCCTACAGTGGCCCGAAGGGCAGGCGTACCTTCCTGATGGAAGGACTCTTCCATAGATTGTCAGAGCTAGGAAAATGGTCATGTCATCCAGCCTCTCCATTCACAGAGCGGGAAACTGAGGCTTGAGGAAGGGAAGTACGTCACCCACACTCTCACAGTGACTTAGTGCAGCCAACTGGGACTAGATCCAAGAGGACCGAATCCCTCTAAGAGCTCCCAACTAAGATCATCCCCTTCCTGAGAGCCCTGGGTTTCCTAAGAAACAAGGGCTATGAGATTTTGAGGGGAAGGGACAGACATTGAGGGGGGAAGGTAGATTTAAAAGCCTTTAGTAGAAAAGCAGTCATTTTATGTATTTTTAAAGAATAATTTCTCAGTGGCATGCAAATGTACAAGTAATTTTTATTTATATAAAAGAGCTCTGCTTCCTTGGGAAGCACATGGCACCCACAGCCAAAGATCCCAATGTCCTCAGAGTTACTCCACATTTCAAAGGGCACGCAGCCACCCTCTTCTGGAGGGCAGATGGCTGGACAAAGCCTTAAAGGCAATGTGAGGAATTTAGTCTAAATCTCAACTCAGGCTCCTCTGGAGTATAATACACCTAGATTGAAAAACAAAACAAAACAAAAACAGCTCATCTGCCAGAAAGCTAATGTGGGTGCGTATGTCTCTGAATGAGAGATGGGATTATAGGACTCAAAGCAAAATCAAATGTTCTCTGAGCTTACAGGAAAGTTGGGGGCCCTCTTAATGTTTTCCTAGTTTTGAGTTGTTGGTGTTCTCCTTTGACAGGCAGAAGGTGGCAGTGCTTGGCAGTGGCCTGACCCTGAAACAGTGCTCACTTGGCCAACTTGCTGGTCACTCCAATGTCACAACTCACCGTCTCTGGGGACATAGCCACTGTCCCTTTCAATTTGTGCTGTGTGAGAGCTTATGAAACTGAGTCACTGATGAGCAGAGAAGGGGATGCTAAAGGGGGAAGGGTACCATCGGCCACTTGGACATAACATTGGGGTCTGTCTCAGTGGGGCACACTTCCTTTACATTTTGGCATCACAACCCAATCAACAGCCTAGGGGGACTGTGGAGTGGTCCCCATGGAGATTCATTCGTGCCCAGCTTGCATCCGGTCTGGTGTCTTACAAAACATTCTATTTCATAGTCAAGGACCTGTTGCACAAGCCTCTTCTGCAGAGTGTTTCTAAAGCTCTGATGGACAAGTGAACCTCGAATCCAAGCTGGTGGTCTGATCTAAAATTAGATGTTCTCCATGTAACTGCTTGCGTTAACTTTGTATGAACCATTAACCTTTGTTGCCCTTTATAATTCCGGGTTTCACTACTTCTGTTTCTATAGAACTGTCTAACTTATTCTAAGTAGGGCCGGGGATTTAGCTCCGTGGTTCCAGCACCTGCCTCGCAAGCGCAAGGTCCCGAGTTTGATCCCTGGTACCAAAAAAAAAAACAACACACACTTATTCTAAGTACAGGGCCATGGTCTCATGTTTGGCAACCCAGGAGCTGTCCTTGGAGACAGGAATCGAGAACTCTCTTTGGCAGCATACTTAAGGTTCACGTGTAACCTGGGGGATTTGGATTTGAGGAAATCAGAGGCATGGAATGCATTGCCATTACCATCACCTGCCAGCACGGGCTCCCAAGTGAAAGGCCAGAGACCCTCGTTGGTGTCTTGTCCCTGTCTCCTGTCTAATGTAGCGTATTATTTTCCATTGCAGGTGGCAACAGCAGCAGGGATGGCCCCTGAGGAATTTGGTGATGTCCCTCAGTCACTTTGCATCCAGAGCCTGGCAGATTCAGTCTCTGCCTCAGAACTTAAAGCCAGGTAGGGGCCTAAGCCCATCCAGAGGCTACTGGCCTTCTTTTGTGTGGGATCTTCCACCCCCATCCCCTGACATACACGCTTACTCCTGGTCTCAAGGAAATTTCTGTTTGTTTTGATTTTTTTGAGACAGAGTCTCACTGTGTAGTTCAGGCTGGCCTTGAACTCACTCTGTATCCCAAGCTAGCCTAAATTCCCAGCAATCCTCCTGCCTCAGCCTCCCCAGTGCCGGGATCACAGGTGTACACCCAGCTTCAAGGAAATTTCTCATCCTCAAAGCTCTCCAGGGAGTCTTCTCAGCTTCTTTTTTTTATACCCCATTCTGGTTTCCTACCCTTTGGTCAACAAGTTCCCCCTTCCAGCTAGAGTGGGTAACCCCCTGTCTTGGCACAGTCATTTCATTCATGCTCTTTCCAGAAGGCCTGCTGCGTTCACGGTGTCTCTCCATGGTGGGATGCTGATGTTTTACTTCAGCTCTCGCCTCTAGGACAGCGGCCCCCATCTTCCACCACCCACTATCCTACACCATATACTTCTTTCCCAGAAAGCTATTTCATATCCCTTTCCTCAAGTGAAATAGGGTAGTAGGTCTCTCCTCGCTGCCTCTGACCAGCTGCTCCACCTCTTTTCCAGGTTCAGAGAATAATTCTGCCTGTCTGGACATCATGTGAGATGCCAGAAGTAGCAGCCTGAAGCCCGCTTCCTCCTCCCCAGAACCCAGAGTGGGTGTGTGACCTGGCCACTGCCTCCACCCTTCTTGCCTGCTGGTAGGTGTGCTGCTCCCCGCCCTTCGCCAGGGCCGTGTTGTCTCTGCCTGTGTTTCTTCTTTGAGACCAAGTCTGAGCCCCAAGGTTCAAACAATCCTCCTCCTCCAGCCTCCCGGATCACTGGAACTACAGGTGTGTGCCACTGTGCCTGACCTCTGTGGGACCATTTCTGTCATCGCCTTCTCCTAGGAGGAAAGCCTTGGGTTGGGATGTGGCTCAGGCGAAGCACTTGCCTAGCGTGTACAAGGCCCTGAGTTTGAGCCCCAGCACCACAGCCAAGAGGAAGCCCTGGTGACTCAGCTCTTCCCTTTGTCACTCCCAAGCCCTGATCTTCAGGATCAGAGGTCCATCCTTTCCCGTGGCACAGACAGTCATTTACAGACACCATTCACACTGGAGAGGAAGGTGTGATGACAGACAGCCCTTCCCGTCTAAACCCCAGATGTGCACCCTAGGAGAATGCCCCAGTCTTTTAAAGGAAAGGGTTTTTATCTGGTGCCCATTCCCCAGGACCAGGGTCTTGGGCTCTGAGAGTTCCTGACCAGGGAGATGGCTGAGGGCAGTCAGCCACAGGTGCTCCTCTTCTTCACTGTAGGTGTTCTTGCCCTCTGGGGCCTTGGGAGAGTTGTCGTGGGTCAGAGCAGCGTATTGCTGCCTGGGCACCATGGGCGAAACCCCCCGCCCCGACCCTTGTGGCCCAGCCAATGTCTCTCTCAACTCCAGCACCAGCAGCAGGCCTGCCAGCAGAAGCGCACTCTAGGAAGGCATTGCCTCCCTGCTAGGCAGCTGCTTTGAGCTAGAAGTGGAGCAGGTGGGCCATAGTGGGTAAGAGGGATCAAGCAGATGTTAGGAAGCAGAAATGTCCCTGTAAGCAGTCAAATAGTACGCGTGTGTGGGACACCTTGATGGCACAGAGAGCACCAGCATTGATGACGCTGCTGCCTGTCTGTCAACCAGGGTGTCTGCCCCGCTGGGCCACTGCAGTCCTGGCTCCTGCCACACGAGGGCACTGCCGACTAATTAAAACTCACCCCTTGCAGCCTAGGTGAGGGCGCCCTTTCCCTAAGATGAGTCAGAAGGCCCTAGAGAGCCCAGACACAGGGCTGGGAATCTGGCAGGATACCTGGCACCACTTGTTCTTCCTGTGAGATGACCTGAGGCCCCACACACACTGCTCTAGTGGCCTGCAGCCTCAGCGCACTCCCTCCCTCCTGAGCTTGGCCCGCCCTGGCTCCAGTCCCAGAACACTTCGCACTTGCTTTCTCTCCCTTAGGGCGTAGCAAGCTCCAGCTGTCTCCCCACTGTCCCCTTGCCTCCATGACAGTTGCTTTCTGACCCAGAGGGTGGGGTGTGTGTGGTTTTCCAGGGCAGGGGGGATCTCTTACAAGTGTTCTGAGAAAAGTATCTTTGAGGCCGGCCATGGTGGTACGTGCCTATAATCCCACTGCTTGGGAGGCCGAACCGGGAGGATCATAGTGAGTTCAAGGCCAGCCTGAACCACATAGCAAGACTCTCAGAAAACAAAAAAAAAGGAGAAAAGGATCTTTGTCAGTAAGAAAGTGTTGGGGGAATTGAAGATGGGGAAAGTAAGTGAGTGAGTCTCTCCATCTGCTCCCCGTGCAGCCCCACAGAACTCAGGACAGCCTCAGTGGCTGGGTACACCCAGGCCACACTGGGGCTCTGAGCCAGGAGGGCATCTGTGGGGCCCATGTTGGCCACAACCCTCATGCTCACCGCGTGCAGGGTTGTGGCTCTGCTAGTGATGCCACGGACCACCCGCCACCCGCCCTCGTCCCGTAAAGCACCTTCCAGGCTGCACAGACTCTGGGAGAGACAGAGGTCCTCCTCCTCCTCCCCCACGCCCGAGGCCCCTCCCCAGGAGGACAGCTTGATTAAACAGTCGGTGCTGCTGGAATTACTGCACAGCTGGCGCTCCCCCCAGCACCCTGAGCAGAGCAGCAGTGCAGATTAAAATCTCCAATTAGCGTTAAAGTGAAGTGAGGAGGTGCGGAGGCTGCCAAGGAGGCCAGGTGGGGGCCCTGGGTCGGCACCCCCACTCTTGCCTGGATTCTGAGTGCACCCTTCATCCCCTTCCTCTATAGCTGCTCTCCAGCAGCACCCAGGGCCCGTTAGCCTCGAATTGCTGTGCTTGGGACATAGGGCTCCTCTGGGGTGGGGCCGGGGAGGTGCTCTACCTGTGAGGCTGGAGGAGGAGGAGGAGGAGGGGGAGAAGGAGGAGGAAGAGGAAGAGAGGAGTGGTCTCCACTCATTAGAGATGCCCTGCCCATAGCTTTCCAGGCAGCCAGGCCGAGGGGACTGCTGTTTCCGCAGAGACCAAGGGCAAACAGGACGAGGGCCTCCAAGCCCTCTTGCCTATACAGTGCTCGGGGGCATGGTGCCCACGTGAATACCCATTTCTGTAATATTCTACTCTATCTGACCCGTCTGCCCTTGCCCAAGTCATGGCTCCTTTCTTTCTCACTCCCTGCATCTGTCTCTTGGTTTCCTGTAGGCAAGAGCAGCCCCAGCCAGGCTCAGGAGCGTTGCCGTGTCCTGCCACCTGGGTCCCCATTGGCTCCTCATTATCTTCTTCGCAGTTTGGGGAAGAGCAGAGATATGGCCAGGATGGAGGTCTGAGATGCCCCTGACCTCTGAACAGCACACCCCTCCGAAGGCCCTGCTACCATTTACGCTCGTGCCACCAAACGCAGAAGTAGGCAGCACAGTTAGCCACCCCCTGGCTGCCCTCTGCCTCTTTAAGGGAAATGGAGGTGGGTACCCAGCTGACTGAACTACTCACACCTCCAGAAATTAGACCCCAGGGCACAGTGCCACCCTCCCAGGCTGGCACATGCTACCCTGGCAGAGGTTCAAGTAGCCCCCTGCCATCCTCCTACCCCTATGTCTTCCTCTACTCTCTTCCCTTCTCTCCCCCCTCTCTTTTCTCAGCCAAAGCACAGCTGAGCCTTGGGCAGGGGGAGCGGAGAGACCAAGCTGGGGTGGGGGGTGGAGCTCCAGCAGCACGTTTTCACCTGCCATTTAATTGGATGTATTTTTAATTAATGGGACCTCAGGGACCAACATGAGACAATCTGAGCTCTGAATAGGGGCAGGGGAGGGATTGAGGAAGGGAGGAGGATTGGGCCACTGGGTGCGGTTACCGGGAACCCAGGCCCATCAATCACTGGCCACTTTTCGTGCTGGCATGGAGAACAGTGAGGTGGAGGAGCAGGGGAGGTGCTGGGGAGAGGTGCCAGCATTTCCTCCAGTGGCCAGGACCTCCCAAAGCAGTTGACTTGGGCCTGGAGCCCGAAATCACAGCCAGGGTAGTAGGTAAGGTGGTTTCTTGGTGTTTTGTCCAGTCGGCTTAGCCCAAGGAATGTGGTAAACTTGTGAAAGGAAGTTGGGAACGGAGGTCTGAGGTTCCTGAAGAAAGAGGGACAAGCGCGAGGGGCCATGGACCCAAAGACTGGTGAGGTGACTGGAGGGCAGAGTTGAGAGCAGAGTGGTTCCTCTGTCCTGACGTGAAGAAAGTGTCCTGGAGGTTATGTACAAATGAGTGTGGTGCCTTGGGGTCTGGACCATGGAACCTCACTGCTGCAAGGAAGCCAACGTGGCGTTCATCTTGCCCGACCCTTTACTTTACAGATGTGGAAACCAAGAGCCAGAGAGGGGAATTTGGTGGAATCCTGTCCTGCAGTTGCTCTGTGTTCCTGCATTTGGAAAGTTCCTGGAAATAGGAAAAGGAGAAGCATGTAGGTGTGGAGGGAGGAAAGTCAGATGAGGAGGGCAAGCAGGATCTTATCGGCCACCGGCTGACGTCTCACATCTCGGACCCTCGAGTCTTAGAAGCGGCATGGCCAAGGCCCGGAGTGTGGTCCTCAGCACTAAAAAAAAGCAAGATAGAGGAGTCAGGCAGGTGCAGCCTGTGGAGCATTACTGGGGGACATTTCCTTCACACCACCAGTCCAGGGCTGTCTCATCCGTCCCCAGGCTTCCAAGTAGATGGAATTCCTGCAGCCCTGCTCCGTGGGATTTTGTCATGGCCTCTAAGGTTCACAGGGAAGGAAATGACTCCTTCACCAGAAATAAATCCCCAACCAAGACTAAATAGTGAACGCTTTTGGAACTCTTAGCCCAAGTTTGTCTGCTGTAAATTAAGCCATTAGAGAAAGTTACACCAAAAAGTGTAATGAGAAGTGATCTTCTACCTCTTCTCCATGTCTAAGCCTAGAACAGACGGAATTGAGATGCAAGGCCCTGAAGGTGGAGTTCCCAGGATACCTGGCCCTGCATCTCTTAGTCAGAGCCACTCTGGCTCTTGTGGCTTTGGTACCTGGACAGAAAGACAGCTTTCAGCCACCACTTTCCCCACCCCTTCCTTCCCTTCCTGTTTACCTGCTTGGGGGAAGGAAGGAAGAGTGAGGCGACAGGAGCTTCCTGCCAGGTTGCCAAAGGTGGTCTTTCTTAGCACCCTCCTCTTTCCTCAAAATATTCAAGACTCTGTTCCAAGCTTCGTGACACAAAGTTGGGGTAGGAGCAAAGATACAGAGCTTGGAGGCAGCCAGTGGAAACTGTCCCACTCCAGGCCACCACACCCTCTTCCCACCCCAAAAACTGTCTTCTCTGTCCTAGTGGACCACTTCATACCCCCGGCCCTGGGGAGGAGCAGGATCTGCCTCTCCGGTCCCAGCCTCACGCTGCCCTTCCCTGAGTCGCCCCGAGTCTGCTTGCTTGCTGTTCGATCTTCAGCCCACTCCACAGCCCGTGGGGTGAGAAGGCCCTTGTGTCCCCGAGCACAGCTGGAGAGACCCCTCCAAGGACCGCTGCCTTCTTTGAAGCACTGAGGGCTGCTGGTGGAGAACTGGGCCAGGGCTGGAAAGGAAGGTTCTGCCATCAGGGGTTATGGGGAAGCCTGCAAGTGGGGAGCAGGCAGAGGTGACATCCTAACCCTCTGGGCAGGGACATTCACAGTGAGTGTCACTTGGGGGTTTATTAGTGGCAGCTGTGTACAAGCTGCTCTTTCTATCTGGAACCCAGAGCAGTGAAAAAGAACACGCAGTGGAGGCTCTGCCACCCTCACTCACCCTTTGTTACCCGTCTCCCCTCCCTACTGCAGCATATTGCAGGGGCTGGAAGGTCCTGACACCCTCACCCCAGATTCTGGGTGTTTCCCTAAAGAACAGAGCCTCCCTCCCTCTGGCCCTGCCGGCCCTGCCTCACACTCCAAGGTCTCTGCAGCCTGCTGGCTGAGCCTGGAGCTTGCCCTGGAGTCCAGGAGAAACCTAGAGCTGTTTGGGGGAAAGAGGGTGGACGAGCTGCATGGAAGGCAGAGGAGGCAGCATCCAGAATTCCCTGCCTTCTGGAGGAAAGGAAAGGAACGGGTCAAGGTGCCTGGCACTGACTTGGCACAGCTTCTTTTCTGTGGGACCCAGCCTCTCCCTCCCTTTCCTGTGCTTGGGAGAACTGCAGAAACTCGAGCCTGTCCCTCGGATACCTGGAGGACACATGCAGGTTCCCAGTGCTGGGAAAGGCAGGAGTGAGGGGGAGGGGAGGTGGCAGTGTGTGGTGCCCATCAGCACCCAAGGGGAGGGCCGAGGAGGAAGCCCGAGGACATGCCTGCCCAAAACAGCCGCCGTACCCCACCCTCTCCTGCTCCCCCTTCATGCCAGTGAGCTGTGCCCAAGTACCAGTTCTCCTGGCTGGCAATCCCGTTCTGTGTGCAGGCAGCCGGCTCCCTCTCCCAGAACAGCATAGGCTGGGATCTCTCACACTCCTCACTCTGGCTCTCTCATCTCTGTGTGTCTGTTGTGGATTCCAAGGGATGCAGGGGGCTGGCCCTGTGGTAAAGGGGCAGCCCTGGGCCCCTTAGGTGCCTATTGGCTGGGCTGGCGGAGTAGGGCAGGGAGACTGCTGACAACTTGGGGGAGCCAGAGGTTATGGAGGGCAGCTATCCCCAAGGGCTAGAGGGCTACACGTGTGCTGGAGCAGCCCAATCCCCGGCTTCTTCCAGGAGAGGAGACCGCTACTCCTCCCTGCCCTCCCTGCTGCCTAAAACCCTGGGTAGCCAGCAAGACCAGAACCTGGACAGATGCTCACCTCTCGGTGCTGTCCACCCTAGAGCAGGTACCTGGGACCAGAGAGGAGCAGCAAGGGGCTGGGGCTGGCTGAAAGGCCTGGGCAGGCTGGGAATGGTGCAGAACCACAGGTGTTTGAAAGCACTAATGCCCTCCCCATTCACAGGCCAGGTGGGCAGATGCGCCTTCTCCATCCTCTCTGGATCGGGGTGACAGGAGGCTGCGCTGGAGGTCACACCAGGTGGGTCAGGAAAACCATTCATGCCCCTGACTGTAGTCCCAGGGGCCTGGGTACCTGAAATAAAGACCCCGATCTCTGGCTCAGTAGGATGGACCAAGAGGAAGGGGGTCTGTGACAGCCTGAGTTCTCATTTGCCCGTTTCTGTCCTTTCTGTCACTGGCAGCTCCTCCTGCAGCTGGGGTGAGGGGCCCAATGCCCAGCTTCTCCTAATGATCCAGCAACAGCTTTGCTTGGAAAAGAGACCACCCACACTTCACCCAGGGCAGCAGGTCGGCCCTGGACCCTCCCCTCCTCCGAGGCAGCACCAGAAGCCTAGGGAGCCTGTGACAAAGCTTGGTCCTGACTCCCAGCACAGCCCTGCGCTCTGGGTGTGAAAGCTGCGCTGTGAGGGGCCTGGGTGCACCAGGCGGGTCGTGGGCAGGTGTGGGGCACTGAGCCCCAGGAGCAAGGTAAGAATCGCTCTTCTCTGCCACATGCTCCTGACCCTCCTCCTCAGTCTCCTCTCCCTCTCCCTTTTTCACCTCTCATTAGCAAACTCCTTTCCTGGCCACGTCTGCTCCTGGCCATCTCAACCCTCCAGACTGAGAGGACACAGTAAGTACGTGTCTCTTCCCTGCACTTTTCTCTCACACTTTCTTCAGCTCTTCCTGGCTCCCTGCTGAGAGCCTCCTGCTTTTGAGGCCTTTGCACCAGAGACTGCCATCAGGATCTGAACCCAGCCGCCCAGATTCTGCTGCCTCCCCAACCCTGCGGATGCCTGGGGACTGGCAAAGACTCATCTGTCCTCATCCTGGCTACACGTATGCCCAGGCCTAGACTGGTGTGTGCACTGGCACTGGGGCCCTGCCTCGGAGCAGAGGGCAGCCTAGGTGTGCACTGGGGCCCCAGCCCTGAATGCATGTGTGCCTGTGCATTGGGCACACTGGTTTATTAGTGTTATTTCAGCATTGTGATGCAGAGAGAGTAAGTGTAACAGCTGCTCCTTGCTTGCAGTGTTTATTGTTACCTAGAGACAACCTCCTGGCTTTTTCCCAGCTCCCCTCCCCCCAGCCCAGCCCCCTCCCTGCCAACAATCCTGCTCTCCCTACACTGATGGGAAATTTATAGCTTGTCCATACCATGCCTTTAACCCTCTCCTGTCCGTCGGTGGATGGGCCAGGAAGCCAGGCTGAGCAGTGGGCATACTTGGGCCCCAGCAGAGTTGAACAATGTGTGGGAGAGAGAGGGAGGAATGACACGTCCCCCTCCACCCTGTGTGCCCAGGCTCAGGCCCCAGTTGCCCTCCTGGTCCTCACAAGAAGAGAGGAGAGGAAAGAGCTCTTGACCTGCTCTTGAGATCTGGGAAGAGTTCCTTTGGCCCTAGCCTCAGGGTCCCGACATCCTCCTGACAAGACCTTTCTCTTCCCTGGGCAACCCTAAGCCCCCAGCTGCATTAGCTGAACCAGAGCGATGGAGCCAGGTAGCACTGAAGTGGAAGTGGAAAACCCAAGTAGCAGAACCCTTAGCCCCTCTTTTCTGTCTGAGAGAGGCAACTCTAGAGATGTCTGGCCAGATACTGGCCAGACCTCCACGTCTGGGTAGACATCAGACCGGAAGCCCACTGTATCCTGAGTCTGAGATGGCACCCAGGTCCCAGGAGACTCCTGGGCTCATCTGCAAGCTGGCCTTGGTCTGCCTGTCCTTCCTGCTCCATCTCTCCTGTGTGTCTTTTGGTTTGGTACCTTGGACAGAGGCCAAAGGGGCTGAAGCACCCTCATCATGTCCTCCGAGGAGCTGGGAAAATAGAAGTCCCTGGAACCATTCATGGAGAAGTCAGGAGGAACCAGGCCATCAGCTCCCCATCCTCACTGGAAGCAAAGGGAGAAAAGAGACTGGACGTCAGCAGGCAAGATGGAGGTTAAACACACGAGAAAACTTCCTCTAGGATGAAAGACCAGAGTGGGCCTACTTCTCTCCAGAGGTCTGTCTTCTGCCTACAAGGGATTGGAGTCCTACATGTACAGGGAACGCCGGAGAATGTGCTTCCTTCTGCGGGCTGCCTCAGTCTCCACACAGCACACCTCCTCACGCCATCAAAATATCATACCTGTGGTGCTCAGATCACGGATTAACCCAGCAGAGGGCCAGGTTCCAGTGCCAGCCCTGCCACTCGCCAGCTGCCTTGGTAAGTCACTTGGCCCCTTTGAGCCTGAGTGTCCTTATCTGTGATGTGCAGGTGAACAGCTCCCCTTGGGTGGTTGTGAGAATCTGCACACACATGTGTAAAGCACCCAGGACAGTGCCCGACAGTGGGCACGCAATGCAGTAGAGCACTGTTACTGCAGAGCCAGCAGGGCCCACGTGGTTCCACACTCTGTGATGCCCCCCACTTGCCAGGAGAATGTTCGTTGTTTTCTTCATGGCGTGGACTAGAGTGGCAGTGCCCTAGAAAGGACCCAGATTCCCCAAGGAGTCAGTTCCCCCATTCCCGTGCCTCCCTAGCCAGGAAAGAAGCTATGGTCCCATGCCACCTCTTAGCCACTCTTGTACCTGGCAGCCCTAAGAAGGATAGCAACAACTAGCTTTCTCCAGGCACTTTACAGTTTGCCAAGTACATTGACCTACATTAGCTCTTTTTTTGGTACTGGGGATCAAACTCAGGACCCTGTGCTTGCAAAGCAGGCAGTGGAACCACTGAGCTACATCTCCAGCCCCTATATTAGCTCTTTTGATATCCAGAGCAATCCAGGAAGAAAAGAGAACTGCATTTATTGGGTGTCTACTATGTACCAGCATTGTACTGGGTGATTTTTTAAATTTGTTGTTTTTGGGTTGATTTTGTGTTTTTTGTTTGTTTTGGTTTTGGGTTTTGGGAAGATGGGGTGACACAGGGTCTCACTATGTAGTCGAGGCCAGCCTTGAACTCACTGTGTATCCCAAACTAGCCTTGAACTCATAGAGATCCTCCTGCCTCAGCCACCCCAGTGCAGGGATTACAGATTGTACCACCATGTCAGGCTCTGAGTGTTTTTTTTTGCGGGGGGGTACCGGGGATCGAACTTGGGACCTTGCATTTGCGAGGCAGGCGCTGGAACCACTGAGCTAAATCCCCAGCCCTTCTGGGTGTATTTTTTTAAAGCATCTTTAAAGTCTACGTAGAGTATTTTATCACCTACATACACTGTGATTTATGTCTCATCACCTATTTTTAATCATTTATATCTTTTCACTGCTATAAATAATATGGCAGTGAATATCCAAACACATAAAATTTCTTCCCTTTTTTCCCCCCTGTATATGTGTGTGTGTGGTACTGGGGATTGAACCCTGGACCTTGCACATACTAGGCAGGCGCTCTTCCACTGAGCTATATTCCCAGCCTGTTTTTAACATTTGTTTGTTTATTTATTTATTTATTTATTTAGACAAAGTCTTGCTAAATTGCCCAGGCAGGCCTCACATTTTGAATATTCCTGCCTCAGCCTCATGAATAGCTGAGATTATAAGCGGGCATCCTGCTTGGCTTCATGCATTGTTAATAATACATTCCAAGAAGTGGAATTATTGGGTCAATAGATACAAATACCCCCCATGGTTATGATCATTTCATTGATGTACCATAATGAGAATAATATTTATTAACCTTCCTCTTTGGAATTCTACAATGGGAACACATGGGCAGCTCCTTCTCCCCTATACCCAGCAGAGACATTAATAATTTGTCATAACATTTAGTAAGAAAATGAGATAAGTATAGATTCCCATGCTGCTGTTAAGAAATAATACAGTGATCTCATGTGCACCTTGCCCACTTTCACTGAATGGTAACGGTTTGCAAAGCCATATTATGATATCACAGCCAGAATATTGACATTGCTACAATCTACCGGCCTTGTAAATGTTTCTCTTGTTCTTGTCTGGGTATGTGTATATTAAGTCCTAAGCTGTTTTATTACCTGTGTAAGTTTGTATATCCACCACTATAGTCCCAGCACCACAAAGATTCCTCATGTTTTATTTTTATAATCACACCTATTTCTCTACCCCCGCTTAATATTTTGTACCACTACTCTGTCCTCCTCTTCTAAATTTTGTCACTTCAGGAACTGAAACATACAACACGTAACCTTTTAGGATTGGGTCTTTTCACACAGCACAATTCCCAGGAGATCATCCAAGTTTTCGTGGGTATCAACGGTTCACTGCTTTCATTTATCTCCAGTATAGATACACCACAGCTTCTTTAACCATTCACCTGTCGGAGGACATCTGGGCTGATTCCAGTTTTGGGCTATTACAAATAAAGTTGTTATGAACCATCATGTATGAATTTTTGTATGAACATAAATATTTTTAATGTTAACAAATTGTCTTATCAGCAAAAGTTCTCTCACTTTGTTCGCTAGTACTAGCAATGAATGAAGTTGCCCATTTTACTTAGTTTGCTGAATGTTTTATAGTCGTGATTATTAACCCCCGTTATGGTTTCTACCTAGATGTCCGCCCAAAGCCTCATGTGCTCGCGGGGCTGGGTGGTGGGGGGTGTCACGGCTGCCTGGCTCTTAAGAGGTGGGTCTGGTTGGAAGAGGGTCACTGGGGCGGGACCAGAAGAGTGTGTCTCCCTCCCTGGCTCCTCCCGTACCTCCGCCAGGACCTGAGCAGCTTTCCCCTCCCAGACCCTTCTGCTTTGCTGTTTCTATGTTTGAGTCTGCCAAATGGACTGAAACTTCTAAAATGGAAGCCAAAATAAATGTCTTTTCCCTTTCGGGTCACCTTGCGGCTGTCAGGTATTGTCTCAGCCACGAAGAAAGTGACTAAAACACCTTCCTTAACACATGCTCCTATTCACATTTTGTAGATGAGGAAAGTTGAGGCCGAGAGTGGGCCATTTCCCCAGGATCACATACTGTTAAAAGGCACAGAAGAGCATGGCTCTGGAGATGACAAGGCTTTTCCTGCCCTGCCGGGCTCAGGCAGGAGGCCTTGGGCTCTTGGAAGAGCGTGGGACAGGGCTGATGGGGATGCCAGCCGAGGGGAGGGGCACAACACCCCAGGTCCCCTCGGTCCTCACAGGCAGCTTTGCCTGAGCGTCTTGGAGCTGGGGCTCATGGCAGAGCACCATGGGCCAGGTGGGTGGGGAGGAGCTGCCCTCTGGGTCTCCATCAGAGTCAGGGATCGGGTGCCTGTGGGGCCAGGTGCTGGCCGACTGAGGCCCACGAGAGCCAGTGCACTCCTAAAGGAGCACTCTGGTGGGGCTGGCGCCTCTTCACACCCCTAGCTCTGACGCAGGCTCTGAGCAGAGCAAAATGCCAACCTCACTCCTGTTCTTTCCCTCACCCACGGCTGGGCAGTGAGTTCTCGGAGCTGGAGAAGTCGGTTGGTGCCGACCCTGTGTCTGGGCACTGGTGAAGCCGACAGGTGAAGACCCAGCGTTGCCCAGGCGTGACAGATGGCAGAGATGCCAGCGTACAGAGGAGGTTCGGCCTCTCCTGGGGCCTGTGTCTGGCCACTTCCCTCTTCCTGCTGGAGAGACCCTTTTAATTTATTTTTATTTTTTTTTAGTACTGGAGATTGAAGCAGGGCCTTTACATTGAGCTACATCCCCAGCCCTTTTTAAATTTCTTATTTTGAGACAGGGTCTCACTAAATCACTAAGTTGACCAAGCTGGGCTCAAACTCCTGAGCCTCCTGCCTCATCCTCCCAGAGTGCTGAGATTCCTAGGGTGCACCACACACCCAACTGGGATGACTCCTTTATAGCTGGCCATACCATTCCTCCCTTGGCCTGGTCTAGTGGCTGTCGGGCCATAGCAGTCTTCCTCACATACTTACATTGCCAGAACCAGGCTGGGATTTCCTGTTCCTCTACCTACTTTGGCCCATGGGGAACAGCCTCTCCCCCAGCGGCACCCCTGTCCCTATCCAGGAATTCCAGCCTGGGGCTGGGGCACCGATGGGATTATAGGGACCATGGACACTGAAGCGCTGAGAGCTGTCCACTCTGAACCTTTGTCTGGGCTCAAAGTTCCTGACAAAGGGGGACCACTCTGCTGGTTCTTCCTCCTCCCCACCACGACAGATTTCCGGACTCGCAGAAGTCCTGAGTGTCCCTGGGAAGATGCCCTTCCCTCTGAGCCAGGGCAGTTCCTGACTGGGAGGTCTCAGGCCCCCTCTTATTCCCTCTCCTTGGCTGCCCCTCTAATCCAGTTCCCCTCCTCTCCTGGCACCATTTCTTCCCCTTCTCCTTTCTCTTCTCTCTTCTCTCTCAGCAAGTTTTTTATGTGATTACAGGCACTGCATGGTAATTAGTGCTAAACTCATTTGCACAACTACAGTTAATTGGCTACAACAATTAATTAATGTGTTGGAAATTTGGCACTGGAAAAAAAAAGTTTGTCATCAAAAAAAAGGGCAAAAAATTGTAGAGTGAGGTACCCATAAAAATCGAGGGCAGGCTTCAAAAGCCCAGCTGGGCCTCAACTTGAGGCCAGCCTTAGATGCCTTCCCCTCTCAACTTCAGTACATTTTCCTCTCGTTTTCTCTTTTCTCTCCCATCTTTTCTTTCTTTTTTCTTTTTCTTTCTTTCTTTCTTTTTTTTTTTTACAACTTAAGCAAACTCATTTCCCTGATAAAATATAGCATGACTAATGGCTAGAGCATGTAAAAATCATTGGGAAAATGTCCTTGGAAGACGAATGCATTTTCAGCAGAATAATTAACTTAATTAACAAATTCACATGCATATTCATCAGGCTATTAATGTCTTCTCGGCTCAGCTTGATGAACATTGCGGTAATAACCATCTCATTTACATACTGCATTCTACTGCGATCCAAAACAGACAACATACAGGCGTACACACACTCGCACGAACACACAACACGGCTTGGCTTGCAGGTTGACTGGGAGTGCGTGTGTGCGCGTGTGCGCGCGTGTGGCAGGGAGTGGGAGTGGGAGTGGGTGGCGTGATCTTTAGAGGGTAGTGAGTCAGGTGAGCCAGGCAGGCCCACATGTGGATGTCTGCGAGAACTTCGTCCCCATTCTCTCCCTCTCGCCCTCTCGCCCTCTCCCCCTCCTTCCGTGTTTCCTTTTCTCTGTGTCATTTTCTCTCTTCTCTCGCTCCCCCCACCCCACCACCTCTCTAGGGAAGAACTTGGTATCCGTGCCAACTTTTTCCCCCTCCCCTCCTCCCTCTCCCCTCTCCTTCCCCTCTCCCAACTGCTGCCAGCCGGCGTCAGCGCCGAATTGCCATCTCCTTGAGCTCTCTGTGGAGCAATCTCGGGGAGCAGTAAGGTGTGACGCCGGCTCTGCCGGCTTCGCAGCACCGCCTGCGGAAAGAGCGCGGGATGGAGGAGGAAGATTAAGAGAAATCGGCGCAGGGCTCGGCTGCCATTGGTGTGTGCGAGCGAGGAGGAAGGGAGCGGGAGCGGGAGGGGGAGAGGAAGGGGGAAAACCAGCAGCTGTCGGCCTAATTCTTCTAACACTCTGCTTGTGGTCATATTAGAAAAACAGATTATGCCCCTCGGTGCCACTCACTTATACTTGACATACGTTAATGTTCTGTATCTCCATTCCCGGGCCTCCGTGCCAGTGGACTTGGGGTCGAGGAGGCTGGGACCCGAGTGGGCAAGGGCCACAAAGGAGCCCGTCTCCCTCCTGACCTCTGCTCGCCCTTAGAGAGCGAGCCTGGACCCTGCTTACAGCAGACGCTCTCTTTCGGCCCAGCTCTGCAGCTTCAGGAGGCGGAGGTCAGAGGACGCCTGGAAGCCCTTTGCCCTGAAAGTCACCTTTCCCCTTCCACTTGGAACGGATCACTGTAAGGCTAATGAGAGAGGCTCTGTGGTCCCCACCTCTAACCTGTATAAGAGCCCTCCGCCCCAATCGGAAGTGGGGGCCAGAGAAAGGAGTCTCTAAGAGTAGGTGCCCCAGAGAGGGTCACAGAGAAGCCTTAAATTGAAAGAGGCCTGGAGTGTTTCTGGGTTGCTATGGAAACCAGGTTTCCTCCTCCTGGCAGGAAGGGAGGAGTCTGAGGCCTTCCTCCTTCCACCAATCCTGAAGGTTGTGCGGGCGGGCGGAGCCTGCTAGGGCCCAGGGAAGGGGCTGGGCTTGGAGAACAATCCAGCCCCGCCCGCCCTCTAGTCCAGAGCCCTTTGACCCCCACCCTCGCTGCTCTCCCACCCCAATATTCAGTCAAAGGAAGCTTTTTCCTCTGTGCCTCTTCCTCTTGGAGACCTGTTGCTTAGCAACCGCTCTTGCCTTCTTCCTAATAATTCGCAGGGACTGAGAGATATAATATCTGTCTCTATATTCAGTTCCCCTCCCCTGTCTATTTATATTTAATAACTGAAGCCCTGTTTTGGGTTCCCTTGGCACCTGCTGTACAGGGCTCCTAGAGGGATTAAGCTCCAGCCCGCAGGAAGGTGGTGACATCCGGGGGAGGACCTCTCCACAAGAAGCGTGGGAGAAGGCTGGAGTGGGCACGGGGTCAGGGGAGCGAGGGATCGTACTCTCCTAAGGTACTGAGGGGAAAGGTACTTCGAACGCGAAGCCATTCCTCCCCGCTTCTGCTTCCTGACCACTTCCGGTCCCGACCCTCCCATAGTTCCCCGAGTGAGAGCCCATCAGTTTCAGTTTCCTAGTGTCTGGATGTTGGTATCCAGGAGGGGGCGCTGTGCCAAAGCAGGGCCCCCAAAGCCTGGGTATCTCCCAAAGTTTTGTGGTCACTAGGAAGGAATTCTGAACTCTCATCCAAAAAGCTCCCCACCCGATCTGACAAAAAAGGAGAAGCAAGAGAGGCCTGTGGGAGCCTGGCTCCGGAGTAGAGTCAGAGCCCTGGGTTTGGGCGCCTCTCCTTACTCTCCTGTGTTGTGGGTTATTACCTGCTTAACCTTTCAAACCCCTTCTTGCCGAATTCGTAGACAAAGTATAGCAATAAGGTTTACCTTGCTGGACTTTTGCAGGCTGTATTAAAATAATATATGAATGAAAAACCCCTGAAAACTCAAATTGCACTCCAACATTTTAAGGTCGATGGCTAGGGCGAGGAAGGTGCCATGCAAGCGGCCTGACCCTGGGCTTTGGCGCCCACAGCTCTCTTCTCTTGGCAGAAGGTCTGGGTCTTTAGCCCTGGCCGGAGGGGCCGGGCGTTATAAACCCAAGCCAGGGCCGGGGGTTTAGCTCAATGGTTTCGCTGCTGCTGCGCAAGCTCAAGGACCCAAGTTCGATCTCCAGTACAAAAAAAACCCAAAAAATAAAAAATAAACCCAAGCCAAATACAAAGTTATCTCAGGACAGTCGTACAGAGGTGTCCCTATCATCCTCC